ATTATAAAGATCAGAGCAGAAATCAGTGCAATGGAGACTAAGAGAACAATACAAAACAATCAACAAATCGAAGAAATGGTTTTTTCAAAAGAATAAATAAAATCGATAAACCCTTAGCCTTATCAAAAAAAGGAAAGAAATAGGCTCAAATCCATGCAATTAGAAATGAAAAAGGTAAAGTCACAACAGATCCAGCAGAAATCCAGAGGATCATCAATACCTACTTTGAGAACCTGTACTCTAATAAAATGGAAAACAGAAGAAATGGATAGATTTCTAGGTAATACAAATTACCAAAGTTGAATGAAGAAGATATAAAAAATCTAATCACCCCAATTATAATCAGTAAAATTGAAACGTAATTAAAAATTTATCAACAAAGAAAAGCCCAGATAATGATGGCTTCACTGCTGAATTCAATAAGACATTTAGAGAAGAACTATTGCCACTACTCTTCAAACTTTTTAATGAAATTGAAAGGGAAGCAATACTTCCAAATTCATTCCTGGAAGCAAGTGTTACTTTGATTCCAAAACCAGGGAAAGACCCAACCTAAAAAAGAGAACTACAGGCCAATCTTCCTAATGAACATAGGTGCAAAAATCCTCAATAGGATACTGGCAAACAGAATACAGATGGTCATCAAGAAGATCATAAACCCTGACCAAGTCAGATTTATCCCAGGGATGCAGGGATGTTTCAACATATGTAAATCAATAAATGTAATACTATATTAACAGAGTCAAGGACAAAAACCATATGATCACCTCAATAGATGGCGAAAAATTATTCAGCAAAATTCATCTATTCATGATAAAAACCCTACAGAAAATTGGAATAGATGGTCTTTATTTCAATTTGATAAAGGCTATCTATGAAAAACCAACAGCCAACATCATACTAAATGGTCAAAAACTGAAAACCTTCACTCTAAAATCAGGAACAAGACAAGGATGTCCACTATCACCACTCTTGTTCAATACAGTTTTGGAACTATTAGCCACAGCAGTTAGACAAGAGAAAGAAATAAAAAAAATAAAGATAGGAAAGGAGGAAGTTAAACTGCCATTGTTTGCTGACAATATGATACTCTACATAGAAGACCCGAAAAAGCCTGCCTAAAGTCTTCTATACTTAATTGACAGATTCAGTAGAGTAGCTGGATACAAAGTCAACACTCAAAAATCAGTAGCCTTCTTGTTCACAAATAACAGACTCACTGAGAGAGAAATTAGGGAAACAGTCTCTTTCATAATAGCATCCAAAAAAAGAGAACTATCTAGGAATTAATCTAACAAAGGAAGCAAAAAACCTCTACCTTGAGAACTACAAGACTGAAAAAAGAGATTGAAGAGAATATAAGAAAATGGAAAGACATCCCTTGTTCCTGGGTAGGATGAACCAATATAGTGAAAATGGCCATACTTCCAAAACTGCTATACAGATTCAATGTAATCCCAATTGTGTAATTCACAGAACTAGAGAAAACAATCCAAAAATGTATTTGGAACCAGAAGAGACCTAGAGTAGCTAAAGCAATTCTAGTCAACAGAAACATAGCAGGGGGTATCACAATCCCTAATTTGAAACTATACTACAAAGCTACTGTGATAAAAACAGCATGGTACTGGCAAAGACAGAACTGAGGACCAGTGGAATACATTAGAAGATGCAGAAACAACTCCAGACATACTTAGATACCTCATCGTTGACAAAGGAGCCAACCATCCTCACTGGAGGAAAGATAGCCTCTTTAATAAATGATGTTGGAAAATCTGGATTTCAACTAGCCAAAAATTAAAACTAGACCCCTATTTTTCACCATACACTAAACTAAAATCCAAGTGGATTAAAGATCTTAATATTAAAACAGAAACACTAAACTTGGTGGAAGATAAGTTAAGTAGAACTCTTGACGACATTGGCATAGGAAAAGACTTTATGAACAAATTCTCAGTAGCACAGGAACTAGCACAAAGAATCAACAACTGGGATCTCATCATTTAAAAAAGCCTCTGCACTGCAAGAGAAACCACCAACAGAGATAAGAGACAACCTACAATGTGGGAAAAAATTTTTACCAGCTGTTCCTCAGACAGAGGTCTACTATCTAGAAAATATAAAGAACTCAAAAAAATCAGACCCCCCAAATATAAAGACCCAATTCA